GGGCTGGGAATCTGCAGAATTTGGGCTGGGAATCTGCAGAGTTTGGGCTGGGAATCTGCAGAATTTGGGCTGGGAATCTGCAGAATTTGGGCTGGAAGGGACCCAGTGGATCACTGAGGGCAGCGCCTGGTGCTGCACAGACCACGCCTAAACCTGGCTCTGATTCCCTCCTAAACCTGGTTCTGTTCCCTACCTAATCCTGGTTCTGATACTGAACCTGGTTCTGATCTCCCCCTAAACCTGGCTCTGATCCCCACCTAACCGTGGCTCTCATCCCACCCTAACCCTGGTTTTGGTACTAAATCCTGATTCTGATACTAAACCTTGGTTCTGATCCCCCCTGAACCTGGTTCTGATCCCCACCTAAACCTGGTTCTGGTACTAAACCTGGTTCTGATCCCTGCCTAAACTTGGTTCTGATACTAACCCTGGTTCTGATGTCCCCCTAACCCTGGTTCTGATCCCCCTAAACCTGGTTCTGGTACTAACCCTGGTTCTGATGCCCACCTAAACCTGGTTCTGGTACTAACCCTGGTTCTGATGCCCACCTAAACCTGGTTCTGGTACTAACCCTAGTTCTGATGCCCACCTAAACCTGGTTCTGATGCCCCCCTAGACCTGGTTCTGATGCCCACCTAAACCTGGTTCTGGTACTAAACCTAGTTCTGATGCCCACCTAAACCTGGTTCTGATGCCAACCTAAACCTGGTTCTGGTACTAGTCCTGGTTCTGATACTAACCCTGGTTCTGATGCCCACCTAAACCTGGTTCTGGTACTAACCCTGGTTCTGACACTAAACCTGGTTCTGATGCCCACCTAACCCTGAACTGGGGGCACTGGGATGGACTGGGAGCACTGGGGCGGGCTGGGAATGCTGGACTGGGAGCACTGGGCTAAACTGGGCGTACCATGCCTCAGTTTCCCCCGTGACCCACCTTCTGGGCGGGGCCGCAGCTGGAGCTGCACACTCGCTGTTTGTCTGTTTTTCTCCTCATTCCTTGGGTTGTTTTTTTATTTTTTTTTTGGTTTTGTTTTTTTTTTTAATTCCCCCAAAAATTCCAGCCCTTCCCACAACCGCTGGCAGCACAAGTTTCCCTCTGTCCTAAAATCGCAGAGTTCGAGGTTTTTTTCCTTTTTTTTTTTTTAAATTTTTTTTTTTTTTTCAAAAGCTCAGCCCGGCTGGTGGCAGTGTCACCCGGAGGACGTGGCAACCCAAAATCCAGCTAAATCCACCCAAAATCCAAACCAAAACCCCGCACCCCAAACCCCAAAACTCTTTTTTTCCACCCCCCACTCCTGACTGTCCCCACAGGTATTTGCGTGGTTTGTTATTTGGGGGAAATACACTTTTTTTTTCACCCCATTTCCCCCCAAAAAAGTGGAAAAATCCAATTTTCAGCGTCCCCCAAACACCCGAGACCCCATCTAAAAAAAAATTTTAAAAATCCTGCACCCACCTCCTCTTTTTCCTGTGTTTTTACCACTTTGCCTGTTTTTTTCCCGAAATTTTGCCTCCCCCCACCCTCCAAAACCACATTTATTTTTAGCAGCCAATTGAAGATGAAGGAGGAGGGAAAAAATACTGAAAAAAGAGGAAAGAAAAAAGGGGAAAAAAACCCGGGATTTTGTCAAAGAGTCACCTTTGAGCTGCAGCGATGTGGGGTGTGAGGAACCCGGGCGTGCTCCTGGCGCTGCTCCTGCTCCCAGGTAAATCCCCCCGCCAAAAAATTGGGATTTATCCCAAAAATCCCCAGATTTCGGGGCAATTTTGGGCTGCTCTGGGGCTGGGTTTGGGATCAGAATTTGGGATTTGAAGAATCCCAGTGGTTCCCTTTTGAATGTCCGGTTAGGGGGATGGATTTTGGGATAAAACCAAATTTGGTCATTACCCCCACCCAAAATTTATTTTGGAGGTTTTTTTTTTTTTTTTTTTTTTTTTTTTTTGGAGGGTGAAAACACCAAAATTTTGGATTTAGGGCGGGTTTAAGGGAAGGGGGACGTGTAAGAGGAACTAAAACCCGGCTTGAATGGAAAATCTTATTTTGAATGGGGGATTTTTTTGTGGGGGAAAAAAAAAAAAAGGGGAATTTCCACCCTTTGCGGGTGTCGGGGGGAAACTGAGGCACGGTGGCGAGGATGTGTTTGGGGTGCTGGGGGGGTTTTTTTTTGGGGTTCTGTCCCCTCACCCCTTCCTTGGGACCCCCTCGGCAGCGCTCGGCGAGGGTTTCAGCCTCGACGCGCGGCGCTCGCGGCTCTTCCGGGGGCCACCGGAGTCCCAGTTTGGCTACCGGGTGCTGCAGCGGGGGGGAGACGGGGACAAGTGGTGAGTGACCCCCCCCAACCCCGGGGGGGACGGGGAAACTGAGGCAGGAAAAGGGAAACTGAGGCAGGAAAAGGGAAACTGAGGGGGAAAAGGGAAACTGAGGCAGGAATGGGAAACTGAGGGGGGAAAGGGAAACTGAGGCAGGAATGGGAAACTGAGGGGGAAAAGGGAAACTGAGGCAGGAAGGGGGAACTGAGGCAGGAAGGGGGAACTGAGGGGGAAAAGGGAAACTGAGGCAGGAATGGGAAACTGAGGCAGGAAGGGGAAACTGAGGCAGGAAGGGGGAACTGAGGCAGGAAGGGGAAACTGAGGGGGAAAAGGGAAACTGAGGCAGGAATGGGAAACTGAGGCAGGAATGGGAAACTGAGGCAGGAAAAGGGAAACTGAGGCAGGAAGGGGGAACTGAGGCAGGAAGGGGAAACTGAGGCAGGAAAAGGGAAACTGAGGCAGGAAGGGGAAACTGAGGGGGGAAAGGGAAACTGAGGCAGGAAGGGGGAACTGAGACAGGAAGGGGGAACTGAGGCAGGAAGGGGAAACTGAGGGGAGAAAGGGAAACTGAGGCAGGAATGGGAAACTGAGGCAGGAATGGGAAACTGAGGCAGGAAGGGGAAACTGAGGTGGGAAGGGGGAAACTGAGGGAGGAAGGGGGAAACTGAGGCAGGAAGGGGGAAACTGATGCAGAAAAAGGGAAACTGAGGCAGGAAGGGGGAAACTGAGGTGGAAAAAGGGAAACTGAGGGGGGAAAGGGGAAACTGAGGCGGGAAGGGGGAAACTGAGGCAGGAAAAGGGAAACTGAGGCAGGGAGGGTAGGAGCAGGAGACTGGACAGACGGACGGATGGGAAGTGGTGTGTGGGTGGCACAGCCTGGCACGGGCCCCCCAAAAACGTTGCCGGGGAGGGCGAGGGGGGGTGGTGACATCCCCGATGTCCCCTCTGTGTCCCCCCAGGCTGCTGGTGGGGGCCCCGTGGGACGGGGATGGCCAAGGTGACATCTACAAGTGCGACGTGGGACCCCAAAACTCCTCCTGTGCCAAGGCCAACCTCGGTACTGGGCGGGGCGGGGGGTTTGGAGGGGTGCGACAGTGAGATTTGGGGGTTTTGGGGGTGATGACCCCCCCAAAACCCCCAAATTTTGGGCTTTTGTCCCCAAGGGGCGGCGGTTCCGTGGCTCAGGAGCAGCACCGGCCACCTGGGGATGACGCTGGTGGAGTCCAAGGATGGGGGGTTTGTGGTGAGCGGAGGGAAACTGAGGCAGGAGTTGGTGGGGAGGGGAGATGATGTCACTGCCGCCTCATGTCACCGCCATCTTGTCCCCACCCCCAAAAAAAGGCGTGCGCCCCGCTTTGGTCTCAGGAATGTGGCACCTCCACCTTCAGCTCCGGCCGCTGCGTCCGGCTCGACGAGGAGCTCCAGCCCGTGGGCACCATCGCGCCCACAGCCCAGCGTGAGTGGGGTGGCACCCGCCGGCACGCCCTGGCGCGTGCCACCCCCCGGTGTCACCGTGTCCCCTGCCAGGTTGTTCTACCTACATGGACATCGTCCTGGTTCTGGATGGCTCCAACAGCATCTACCCCTGGGAGGAGGTGCAGGCCTTCCTTGGGAACATCTTGGCACGCTTCTTCATCGGCCCCGGGCAGACCCAGGTTGGGGCCTGGCACCTTGGTGGCACCGCCGTGGTGTCCCCAAGGCTGGGCTGGTGTCCCCAGGGGAAGGGGGTTGTCTCCAGGGCAGTGCTGTTGTCCCTGGGGTGGTGCCAGGCGTGGGGTCATTGTCCTTAGGGTGATGCCATCATCCCTTGGGGTGATGCCAGCCTTGGGGTCACTGTCCCTGTCCTTGGGTGATGGCATTGTCCTTGGGGTGATGGCATTGTCCTTAGGGTGATGCCAGCCTTGGGGTGATGGCATCGTCCCTGGGGTGATGGCATTGTCACTGGGGTGATGGCATTGTCCCTTGGGGTGATGCCCTGGGGTTTGAGGGATGTCCCTGTGGACTTTGGAGGTTTCCTGTGGGTTTGGGTGTTCCCTGTGGGTTAGAAGGGTCCCTGGGGGTTTAAGAGATGTCCCTAGGTGGGTTTGGGTGTTCCCTGGGTGGGTTTGGGTGTTCCCTGTGGGTTTGGGGATTCCCTGGGAGTTTGGGGGTTCCCTGGGGATTCTCTGTGGGTTTGGGGGTTCCCTGGGGATTCCCTGGGAGTTTGGGGGTTCCCTGTGGTTTTAGGGGCTCCCTTTGGGTTTGAAGGGTCCCTGGGGGTTTAAGAGATGTCCCTGGGTGGGTTTGGGTGTTCCCTGGGTGGGATTGGGTGTTCCCTGTGGGTTTGGGGATTCCCTGTGGGTTTGGGGGTTCCCTGCAGGTTAAGGGAGGTTTCGGGGCTCCCTCTGGCTCTGACTGTCCCCGTTGCAGGTGGGGGTGCTGCAGTACGGGGAGCAGCTGGTGCAGGAGTGGGCGCTGGGGCAGCACCCCACAACCCAGAGCCTGCTGGAGGCTGCGCGGAACCTGACGCGGCAGGAGGGGAGGGAGACCAGGACGGCCATGGCCATCCGGGAGGCATGGTGGGCTCTGGGGTGGGGCACGGGGCACGACTGGGGTCAGAGCTGGATTTAGGGGCTAGGCTGGGGTCAGGATTTGGATAAGGATTGGGTTTGGAATTGGTGTTGGGGTTGGGATCAAGTCAGGATTTGGATTGGGCATGGGGAACGACTGGGACTGGGATTGGGAGAGGGAGCGGGGCTGGGATTGGGGTCAGAGTTGGATTTAGGGGCTAGGATGGGGTCAGGATTTGGATCAGGATTGGGTTTGGAATTGGTATCGGGCTTGGGATCAAGTCAGGATTTGTATTGGGCATGGGGAACGACTGGGGCTAGGCTGGGGTCGGGATTTGAATAAGGTTTGGGTTTGGAATTGGTGTCAGGTTTAGCATCAAGTTAGGATTTGGATTGGGGTTGGGGTTAGAATTGGAGTCAGAGTTGGGATTAGAGTCTAGGTTGGGATGGGGATTTGAATAAGGGTTGGGATTAGAATTGGTATCAGGTTTGGGATGAAGTCAAGATTTGGATTGGGAATGGGGCACGACTGGGGCTGGGATTGGGAGAGGGAGTGGGGCAGGGATTTGGGTCAGAATTGGGATTAAGGCCTTGGATGGGATCGGGATTTGAGTAAGGATTGGGATTGGAACGGGTCTCAGTCTTGGGATCAAGTCAGGATTTTGATTGGGATTGGGGTTGGGAGTGGGGCTGGGATAACGATCAGAGTTGGGACTAGGGTCTGGATTGGGATCAGGTTTGGAATTGATATCAGGCTTGGGATCAAGTCAGGATTTGGAATGGGGTTGGGAGAGAGAGTGGGGCTGGGATGAGGATCAGAGTTGGGACTAGGGTCTAGATTGGGATTGGGATTGATATCAGCCTTGGGATCAAGTCAGGATTTGGACTAGGGTCAGAGCTGGGTTTAGGATCTAGGTTGGGGTCGGGGTTTGAATAAAGACCGGGTTGGGACTAGTGTCTAGATTGGGATTGGGATTGATATCAGCCTTGGGATCAAGTCAGGATTTGGACTAGGGTCAGAGCTGGGTTTAGGATCTAGGTCGGGGTCGGGATTTGAATAAAGACCGGGTTTGGACTGGGTGTAGTTTAGGATGGGCATGCCCAGGGGCTGATTCTCCAGCCACGTCCCCGCAGCACCCAGTCCTTCAGCCCGGCGCGGGGCGGGCGCCCGGGGGCCGCGCGGCTGCTGCTGGTGGTGACGGACGGCGAGTCCCACGACGGCGACGAGCTGCCCGCGGCGCTGGCCGAGTGCGACCGCCACAACGTCACCCGCTACGCCATCGCTGTGAGGGCCCTGCCAGCCATCCCCACCGCCCCTGCCTTCCCCTGGAGCTCCTGCTGACCCCCCGTCCCTCCCGCAGGTGCTGGGCCATTACCTGCGGCGGCAGCAGGATCCCGAGGATTTCATCCGGGAGATCAAATCCATCGCCAGCGACCCTGACGAGAAGTATTTCTTCAATGTCACGGATGAGGCCGCCCTCAACGACATCGTGGACGCTCTGGGAGATCGGATCTTCAGCCTGGAAGGTGCTGCTTGGAGGCTGGGGTGTGCGAAGGGCTGGAAGCACAGCTGGAGGAGCTGAGTCTCATTCCTCCTGCGTTCAGGCACCCACGGTGACAATGAGAGCGCCTTCGAGCTGGAGATGTCCCAGATCGGCTTTTCCATCCACCACCTCGAGGTGAGCATGTCCCTGTCGAGTCAGAAATGGCACAAATCAGGAGGAGGAGTCCTCTTTGTTAGGACACTCATTAATTTTTATATTCTAGATTGCTGCTGGTGGACCTGATTTGTCCTTTAATCGAAACACCTTTGGCTAATTAAGAAGCCACCCTTTGGTGATCAACCTTGCTCTAAACATCACCTAGCACACCTTAACATGATCCCAAACACCAGAAGCAGCAAGTTAAGATAAAAATTATTATAATTCTTTTCTCTGAGCTTCTCACAGCCACCTTTGGTAATCAAATTACCAAAGCCACCCTTTGGTGATCAACCTTACTGTAAACATCACCTAGCACACCTTAACATGATCCCAAACACCAGGTGCATCAACTTAACAGTTATATAGTAATTATAATAATTTTTGTCATATCATAATGATTATAATTATTTTCTCGGAGCTTCTCACAGCCTTTCCCAGAAGGAAACTTTCCCTTTCCCTGGGAAAGCTGTCTGTTTCCAGGTGGAAAACAACCCTGAGCCCATCTCATTGGTGCTTGGGGACACTGAGGCACTGTGGTGACGTGTCCCACCCATCCCGGCAGGACGGGATCCTCTTCGGGATGGTCGGAGCCCACGGCTGGCAGGGGGGTGTGCTGGAGGAGAGGCGGAGGGGCCGCGTGGTTCCAGCCCGGGAAGCGTTCCAGGAGGAATTCCCGCTGCAGCTGAAGAACCACGCGGCCTACCTGGGTATGGGCATGGACCTGGGGATGCGTCCACCTCGAGATTTGGGATCAGTCGGGGGTTCTCTGTGGCCTGGAGATCGGGGGTGGAGTGGGGATGCTTCGTGGAATGGATATTGGGGGGGGGGCTTGGTGATGCAGAAATGCTCCATGGCCTGGATATTTGGAATGTCCTGGAAATTTGGGGTGCCCTGAGGACGCTCCGGGGATGCCCCAAACCTGGCTGTTTGGGGTGTCCCAGGAACACCCCATCTCCCCGGGGCTGTGCCTCCCTCTGAGCCCGTTTTTCCCCCCGCAGGGTACTCGGTGTCCTCGCTGCAGCTCCCGGGGGGGCAGCGCCTGTTGGTGGCCGGTGCCCCTCGCTTCCAGCACAAGGGCAAGGTCGTCCTCTTCCAGCTGGACCCCACGGGCGCCGTGACGGTGGCCCAGGCGCTGATGGGGGACCAGGTGAGGGGTGCCGGGGGGAGTTCGGGCCTGCTACCCCTCCCCAGCTCAGCCTCACAGCCCCTTGCACCCCCAGATTGGCTCCTACTTCGGCAGCGAGGTGCTGGCCCTGGACCTGGAGGGAGATGGGGACAGCGAGCTGCTGCTGGTGGCAGCGCCCACCTACCTGGGGGGCCAGAGCAGGGAGATGGGGAGGGTCTACGTGTACCGCGTGGGGCAGGTGAGAGGGCTGGAGTGGGGCAGGTGAGAGGGATGGGGATTGGGATGCACTGGGACACACTGGGGCAGGGGACTGGGATGTACTGGGATGCACTGGGGCACACTGGGATGCACTGAGGCACACTGGGATGCACTGGGATGCACTGGGGTGCACTGGGGCACATTGGGATGCACTGGGATGCATTGGGGCAGGGAACTGGGGTGCACTGGGGCACACTGGAATGCACTGGGGCACACTGGGATGCACTGGGGCGCACTGGGGCACACTGGGATGCACTGGGGCACACTGGGATGTACTGAGATGCACTGGGGCAGGGAACTGGGATGCACTGGGGTGCACTGGGGCAGGGAACTGGGATGCACTGGGTCACACTGGGATGCACTGGGTCACACTGGGGCGCACTGGGGCGCACTGGGGCAGGGAACTGGGATGCACTGGGATAGGGGACTGGGGTGCACTGGGGCACACTGGGATGCACTGGGGCACACTGGGATGCACTGGGGCGCACTGGGGCACACTGGGATGCACTGGGATAGGGGATTGGGATGCACTGGGGCACACTGGGATGTACTGAGATGCACTGGGATGCACTGGGGCAGGGAACTGGGATGCACTGGGTCACACTGGGGCACACTGGGGCGCACTGGGGGGTGCACTGGGGCAGGGAACTAGGATGCACTGGGTCACACTGGGATGTACTGGGGTGCACTGGGGCACACTGGGGCACACTGGGGCACACTGGGGCACACTGGTGCGCACTGGGGCAGGGAACTGGGATGCACTGGGTCACACTGGGATGCACTGGGATGTACTGGGGTGCACTGGGATGCACTGGGGCAGGGAACTGGGATGCACTGGGGCACACTGAGGCACACCGGGGCAGGGAACCGGGAGGACCAGCAGGACGCAGAGGGACTGAGGCCATTTGAGGCGATCGGGGGGAACACAGCGACATTGAGGGGGGGGTCCCCGTCCCGTGGGGGTACCGAGGGACCCCCCACCCCACCCCACGCCCCCAGGACCGCCTGAGCCCCGCGGGGTCGCTGCACCCCGAGCCGAGCCCGCAGGATTCCCGGTTCGGCTCCGCCCTGGGCGCGGTGCCCAACCTGAGCCAGGACGGGCTGGCCGGGGCCGTGGTGGGGGCTCCGCTGGAGGACGAGCACCGCGGGGCTCTCTACGTGTTCCACATCGCCCCGGGCTCCCTCCTGCCCCGCTACAAGCAGGTGAGACGCTGGGAGGGGTTGTGAGCACGGCTCTGCACGATGCCAAAATTTGTGGGAAATGGATTTGTGGAGGATTTGCAAAGCCCAACAGAAGGCTCGCATCTGTATGCAAATTTTGAGATGAGAAATGCTGGCTTAGGAATGTTATAGAATAGGACAGATATTGTTGAGAGAGAAATGGAAATAGAAACATGTTTCAAAGGGTGGTTTTTATTGCAAAAAAAGACTACATACTTTGGAGAAATAGAACTATGCATGAGAGGTAATTTTAAATTATTTGCTTTGAAGTATTTACAGCCTGGTGTAGCAAAAGCTGCTCAACCAAGAAACACTTAGAGTGTATTGTAATTAGGAAATAATTAGCTTCTAATTGTGATGGCGTGAATTATAACATCTGTATTGTTTCACCCTTCACATGGGACTAAAACCAGAAGTTTTTAAAACACCTCTCTGGGTCCGAAAAGGGGGATTTTGTTTTAATCCAACAAAAACTCCCGTTCCCAGCGCATTGAGGCGGCGGTGCTGGGCTGGAGCCTCCGGTACTTCGGGATCAGTGTGGACGGACGGGTGGACATGGACGGGGACGGGCTGGTGGACGTGGCCGTGGGGGCGCAGGGGGCGGCCGTGCTGCTGCGGTGAGTGGGGGTCAGGGGCTCGGGGACAGGGACACCCCGGGGACAGGGACACCCTGGGGACAGGGACACGGAGAGGGGACAGGGACACCCCGGGACAGGGACACGGAGAGGGGACAGGGACACCCCAGGGACAGGGACAGGGAGAGGAGACAGGGACACCCCAGGTCAGGGACATGGAGAGGGGACAGGGACATGGAAAAGGGACAGGGACACCCCGGGACAGGGACATGGAGAGGGGACAGGGACGTGGAGAGGGAACAGGGACACCTCAGGAATAGGGACATGGAGAAGGGACAGGGACGTGGAGAGGGGACAGGGACACTCCAGGAATAGGGACATGGAGAAGGGACAGGGACATAGAAAGGGGACAGGGACACCTCAGGAATAGGGACATGGAGAGGGGACAGGGACATGGAGAGGGGACAGGGACACCCTGGGAATAGGGACATGGAGAGGGGACAGGGACATAGAGAAGGACAGGGACACCCTGGGAACAGGGTCATGTGGGCCATGGGGACATTCAAGGGGAAAGGGACCCCATGCCTCAGTTTCCTCCCGTGAGAACCTGGGACGCTCCCGGGATCGTCCCAGGGCTCTCCATTCACAGAGTCACAGAATCACTGGGTTGGAAGAGACTTCCAAGACCATCGAGTCCAACCCAGCCCTAACACCTACTCCAGGGAGTAAAGAGGAGTCCCAGAGGAGAAAGAGATCCAGGGTCTCGTGGGGGATTTTAAAGCCGGGGGCAGAGGAGAGGGAGCACAACCACAACTGATGAGAGGGGCCAGGGGAGGAACTGACCCGGGGTAAGACCACCACCACGGGGCCTTGGAGGAGAGGTGATACAAACAACCCGCGTGATACCAACAAACCACTCAGTTCCACATAAAAACCTCTCGGTGCAAAATTCCAGTGCACAATAATAACGACATGAACGACTCGGGGCAAACACAACCGTGTCCCTGTCCCCACGCTGAGCTGCCGGGTGTGACTGTGTCCCTCAGGTCCCGCTGGATCATCCGGGTGTCCGCGGGGGTGTCGGTGGAGCCGGCGGCCGTCAGCGTCACCCGGCGAAACTGCCGGCGCGGCGGCTCCGGCGCCGTCTGCCTCCGCGCCAGGATCTGCTTCCGCGGCCAGAGCCGCGCGCGGAGAGGCCCCGGGGACGTGGATGTGGGTGAGTGAGGGCTTGGGGGGGCTGCAGGGTGCTGGGAGTGTCTTTGGAGCATCCCTGGCTGTGCCTGGAGCGGCCCAAAGGGTCCTGGAGCATCCCAAAGGGTCCTGGAGCATCCCAAAGGGTCCTGGGAGTGTCCTTGGAGCATCCCAAAGGGTC